TCCCAGAGTTCTGCACCACATTAGCACATTTGGCTACGCTAACGGAATCTTTGAGCACATCCTCAGTGATGACATCTACCTTCCGTTCAAATATCCTTTTTAACATATCTTGTCATCACCATTTCGCCTTAAAGCATCTCAAGTTTGTGACTGCATTCTGCTAAATAGTTAGCAAGCTACCAGCTACACAACTAGCAACAACAAAAAAGGGCAGTGCACCTCACTTAAACCAGACAAAGCAAGTATTCAAAATATTTATGTATTCGACACTCAGACTTACCATTAAATGATGATGTGAATGACAGCTAGCTAGAATTACTTAGCTAGCTAATTAGCTCAATGAGGCTAGCCTGGCTGAGGCAAAGTGCGTTCCTCTTGAAAAATCTGCTCTTTGTTGTTCCCTTTATGACCTTTAATCATAGCACGATGCAGATTGATTGATTGACGTATGCCTGATTTCTGACAGATGCCCTTTTTCTGTTTTTCATGTATTCACGTGTCACCATTTGTTGGCTAGCTAGTGAGGTTAGCTAGCTAAGTCGACACATGTTAGCATAACCAAACTATCCACCAACACGGCTGTATAACACTATTATAACTATGTAATTTAGGCTACTGATGTTAAATGTGGGGATAAAATGTAACCCGTTACAAACTCTATTAAATACTCGCCACACAACCACACAGTTGGATAGACTGTGGTTTGGATAGCAAGTTTGCTAGCTAGCGCACTTGCCAATTCAGCTGAAGAATCAGCTAATGTAGCTGAGGTTTTAGCAAGTTTTAGATCACATTCCTTTAAACTTACTAAAACTTCAGTTGGATTAGCTGTTACACTAGCTAGCTAGCATACTTGCTATACAAACTACAGACAAACAAACCATTTCAACTTCTTTCTTTCAGATATTGCATTTGATGTAGAGCTTCAGTTCTGTCTTTCAGACTTTTGCTAGAGTGTATGTTGGTACAATGCAATGCTAACAGCTACGCGAGACTCTACTTGGACTCGCAGGAATGGACTTGAGAACATCTCTGGTGTGTGTAGATGAGAGTATATGTACCGCCTCGTTGGTTCTTTTCCAGAATACGGCCATCACAAATATCGCAGTAACAGGAGGAGCCAGGTAGCTGGTCACTGACTGGATGTAAACATAGAGCTGGCCACTGTTGGCACTCTGAAGGATTGGGATCCAAACCACACTGATCACCACCAGAATAACGGTCACAATCCTGCAATGAGACACACATAACCACATTCGATCATTATCACATCTGTTAGTACCTCTGGTGAGGTTTTACAACAGTTCTTCTGTTGTGACATTCAGGTTTATTTATATATTTCCTTGTCTTTTGCTATTCATTTTTGCAAATTGTATTTCTTTACATACATCTTAAACACACTCTTCTCTGTTGTCCATTAGATGTCTCACTTTTGTTCACAAATAACAATAAAGTGCTATACAGTAACAGCATCCTAAGTGGTGTACCGCAAGGGTCTATTTTAGGACCCTTGGCTGTTTTCAAGTAATAGTGCAACTAAACACTTTTTGACAGTGTTGCCAGAAGTTTAGCGGTTTAAAATGATCAGCCCAAACATTTGCTATTCATAAACAGGTAATACTAAAAAAATTCACACCTTATTACCAGAAGAATTTAAAATAAATAAAGAATAATAAATGAGTGTAGTGATACAACATGGCAGTAATATAAAGAGGAATGATGTTTTTTCAAACTGACACAATTTCACAAATAACCACACACCTGCCGACTAAGAGCAGCTCTTTCTCGCTCGCCCCCCTCCGATATTTCTTCCAGATGTCCATGGTAAATAGCGTGCTACTGCTGTTAAAGATGGAGGTCAGTGATGACATCAGAGCAGCCATCATCACTGCAATCATTAAGCCTCGCAGGCCTGAAAAACACAAACACAGATGCATTCACCTTAAAGCCACAAATGGTTTAAACGACCCATGTTCCTCAAACCTGAGGGCCTGCCCTGACACGCTGAAGAGGAACTGACGCGCTGAATCAGATGTGAGCAGACCAAACCCAAAAATTAAATTAGCAAAACTATGCAGTGTATGGCATCGCCAGGAGCAGGACTGAAAACCACAAGTCTTAACAAACACACACTAGAAAAAAAAAAGTTTTTAACTCACAGAAATAAACAAAAAACAAACACATACATTAAAAGATCCTCATTACCGCTAGGCATAAGCTCGATGACCAGTTTGGGAAAAGCAATGTTGGAACAGCCAACCTCTGCTCCACACACCTTCATACACTCCTCAGGATCCACACAGCCCACGGAGTCTGAAATTACACACCCAAACATTTTCTGTTTACTGAAAATAAAAGGCACATTGACAGCTAGAAGACATTTAGGACAAAAAGCAACAATAAAGAAGATCACGGGTCATTATTTCATTTTATTTACTTATTTAATATGCACGTCATTTGCTCTACCATGTCAAAGTTTGAAGACAGGCTAGTCCCAAACTGTAAAGCCAAACAAATATACAATATCCTTGGCAACTGTGCAATATCAAACACCACCCTTCATTATTTAATACATTTCACATTGTTCTTATTTATATTGTCTTACATTTATTTGCAAATAAGAGATGCCAAATGAATATATAATATCCTACTGTGCTGTGCAAAAGTCAGACATCACCCTTTATTATTTAATACATTTCACATTGTTCTCCATTGTCCATTAGGTGTCTCACATTTGTTCACCAATGCTATACAGTAGCAGTATTCTAAGTGGTGTTCTGCAGGGCTCTATTTTAGGACCCTTAGCTGTTTTCAAAAAGCAGAGCAACAAAACACTTTCTGACAGTGTTGTGTGAACTTCTTCAGTTTAAATGATCAACCCAAAAGTTTGTCTTTGATATATAGTAAATTCCATTAAAAAATCACACCCCATTACCAGATTATAAATAAAATAACAAAAAATTACTGCATCAATACAATATAATAGTAATCAAATATACCATTACTTATAGTGCTGTGCAAAAGTCAGACACCACCCTTCATTTGTTTAATTTCCAATCAGATTGGCCATTAAAACCATTTTTTTTTCAGAAGATATTTTTGATGAGATCAGATATAAGATCATTCAAGGTCAAAGGAAAATGAGTGAATAGGAGTTGTCTAAAATAGGAAATAGGAGTTGTCAAAACTGGAATTCACAAAATGATCGAAAGCTACAGGGAAAGTGGGACTCCTAAAAACCACCTGGAAGACCTTGTAGACACCAAAACTGTCCCCTTCAGATAAGCAGCACTTAAAGCTTTCATTTTTGAGCTTGCTTCAGATCTAAAAGTGTTTGTGTCCATCCTAACACTAAAGCGAAAAAAGCTGAACCACGGCCTGTCCACCCCTGAGTCCAGACCTGAATGCATTTGGGATTTATTGGATCATGAGAAGTAGAAAATGCAACTAACTTCTAAGACTGAACTTTGAAGGTGTGGAAAAATATCGATGCAGATTTCTTGGAAAAACTGAAAGCGAGTTTCCTTAAAAGAATGGAAGCCGTAAGCACAAAGGTGGACACACTAAATGCTGAAAAAGTTGTTCATTTAGTTGTTGAGGCTGAAACTAAAGTTTAAGTAAATCCTGCTTCTTTCACAATGAAGGTTTATATTTGATACCAAGCTATTTGACATTTATAACCCTTACACAGTTGAGTCGTAAAAGAGTAGTGAGATTTTGGGGTAAAGGACAAGGGATGGGCAAGAGGCCCTTAAAGGAGAACAAGCAGGCCACAGAGTGAGGCAGAGAAAGCCTCAGCCTGTCCAGCATGTCCTGGGCTTGTTCTAGCTTGCTCTACAGAGAGTGAATAGCTGTGGGCTGAGTATTTAGCTGGGGGTTTGGAGAGTTTCTCCAAGATAATGGCCAAGGCTCATTAAAAGATAGCATGCAAGCTCCTACTGCACACACAGAGTTGGCTCAGACAGCTGCCTGCCACATGATGTGAGAGAGAAGTGGAACTTGCCCCAGTTTCCCTTTTTCCTGACCAATAACCGGACACCCCGCCCAACCCAGACACGCCGCGTCATCGAACCGCATGGGAGGAGAAAAAAAATAAAAAACGGCATTATTTTTTCCCACCTGTTTTCAGACAAGCCCCACCTCCTCCTCTACAACTGGTTCGTAGCCCCCCTCCTGTGAGAGCGTTAGCCCTGCTTCTGCGCTGATTGGCCGGAATTCGTTGAACTGCCGCGTGAGTCTCAACTACTAACCAATCCCAGCGCTGGAGGCGGGGCGTGGGCGGAATACGGGTGTGAAAAAAGCCCCCTTCAGACTTGTTCCTCTTCCCAACAAAGTTACAAGGCTAGAAGAAGCAAAGTTACATGGAAAAGCAGCCAAGCTGTCTCGCTTCTGTGAGGGGAACATTTTCTGGAACTTCTCTCAGAGGAAAGGTCATTTCAAGACCCCCAGACACGAGGCTTGGTCTGCTTTACCGCTGACTGAAGGCAGTGGGTGGGTGTTTTCGTGGAAATGGCGAGTTTTCGACTGAAAGCCGTGGTATTCAGAGCCGGAGTGGGCTTTTGATGACTCTGTTCGTTCATTCCTGCTCGTCACGTGAGCGAGGCGTGCCGGCCGGTAAGGCGCTCGCGCTTTTGTCCTCCTCTACCTGCTTGGTGAGTGAAAGCTGATCCCGGCCGGCTCCGCTCACAGATGAACAGTATGTGAGGAGTTAAGCTCGACTTCTTGGAATGACTTCTCTACTAAAGCGCTGCGTGGAGAGGAAAATGGTGTTTTTGCTGAGGGAATGGACGCTCGAGAGGAACTTCTGGATGTGAGGAGAAACTCTCTGGCTTTTCTTTGAGCCACTTTTTCGTGAGCTGGGCTCCACATCTCTCTGGACGTGAGGGGGAGAAGCTTCCAGAGCCACGTTGGATGTGAGGGGAGAGCTCGTGGGCTGTTCTAGCTACTTATTTATCTCTTTCGTGTGTTCTTAGCGGTCTCGTGAGCTTCCAGCCTGAGCCATGGCTCTGTCCCAGATCCAGTGTCTGGACGACAACCACGTCAACTGGCGCATGAACGAGTCCAAGCCCGAGTTCTTCTACAGTGAAGAGCAGCGGCTCGCGCTCGAGGCGCTGATCGCGAGCGGCCGCGACGCGTTCCACGCGTACGTCAGCGACCGCGAGCTCCGGCCCTTCCTGTCCGAGCCGGAGCTCGAGCGCCTGTGCCGCTCCGTGGAGGACTACCGGCCGGGCTCCGAGCACATCAGGCCGGAGGGCGCCGGCGAGGCCGAGGACGGCGCCGTGTCGCTGCAGTACTGGCCTGACCGCTCGGACGCCTCCATACCGGACCTGGACCTCGGCTGGCCGGACTGCAACTCGTACCGCGGGGTCACGCGGGTCAACGTGTACACGCAGCCGCCCTTCGACGGCCAGACGCACATTAAGGAGGTGGTGAGGAAGACCATCGCGCAGGCGCAGAAGGTAAGAGACCACCAGGGTCCTCATGGCCCCTCATGAACCCAAGTCATTTCTGCTCCAGTCAAGGGAATTTGGAGTCCTTAGCAAATGATACAGTCTGGAAGCAACATTTCAGTCCAGGGCCCTTGAGCTAGGCCCCCTCTTCATGGGGACCCTGGGTAGTCAGGTCCACTATTCCCACTAATTGTAGAACAGCTGTGGCACCTGGAAGCATCCTTGATCCAACCTGTACACCAAGGATGCACTGGTGACTCACCAACAACGATGTTTAACATCCTTTAAGTGGGTCAGACCCAAGATTAGTCTAAAATAAACTCAATATTTCAAATAAATCTGTTTTCTTTAAAAAGACGAGGCAGGAAATGGGCTCATTTGGTGCCTTCAAAGCCTGATATTCCAACATTCATCAAGCAGCTCTTGATGATGAGCAGGGATCCCATTATCACCATCTAGCGAGTTATTCTTGCTTGGTTACCTTTCGCAAGACTCTTTGGTAAGTGAGAAACATCTAGGACCTCTGTTCAGAATGGTTCACTCATGTCTTAAAATCATGTATGTATGGTAGAAAGGTGTCGTACACTAAGAAAAATGGAACTGGTTTGTGATATTACAGTTTAAAACTAAAAAAAAATGCCAACTTATGCCATCATCAGACCACATGACGAGGTCAGGTTTCAGTGAGAATTGAAACACGACTGACTGACTGTACAGTGCCCCATTTCTCAGTTAGAACACAGCCCAGAAGTGCTCAGTTATGTGGTCAGTCTGGGACTTGCCTTTAAATATCTCAGCTCACACAGAATGAGATGTGTCCAAGCTATTGAAGGGATGTGAAAGAGTGTAAAGTTGATGGAACTTTCTGGAGTCCCTAACAAAAGACACTCTGGGGAACAGTTAAAAATACCTCAGAATTTCAGCCGTATTTTACGTAACACACAAAAGATGTGCTTTTAGAGACACGGGTCCAAACTTAGTATCTATATCGAGCTGATAGCAGGGAAAAAAGGATAAATCTGATCTATTACTGTAACAAATCAAGCCTGAAACAGCACACATTTACATGAGCTCTGTTCATGCATGAAGTCCGGGACGTTACCAGGATACTTCTGCTGGCAATGTTTGTCATTCACCCATGCAGCCCTTGAGCGGTATTTTACCGGGATGCACACGTTCATACTTGCCATAAATTTTCCCGTAAATGGGATGTGACGTCATGAACAGCCAACAGCTCCTTCATTTTTGATTCTTGTGCAAAATACACTCCCGCAACTTTCTCTGAAAACTAGCTCAATTGTGAAACAAATGCTTGCTGAAATATCGCTCACTCATATTATTTATATATATACATATATATATATATATATATATGTATATATATTTATAAATATAATAGTAGCTTATTGTTCACCTTTTTATTCACCCCTTTTTAAACATCCAAAGCAAACCTGATTTATTGTCAGAAAACTGAGCAATATATAGATAAACAATAAACTTATGTATCAATAACGACCTCTGGTAAAAACAGTACCAAATGTTGGGTCACCTCTGAATGTCTACAAGGCTGAAGTCGGCTTTTTAGTTCGTAGCATTTTGTTCAAATATTTCATTCCATTTTAAATGGAGAAGTAATGCATTCTGCCACCTGTGGAGGCGATTCAATATCCCCGCTGCATCATTTAAGATATAACGGAAAATTTGAAAAAGAATGTAAGTATTTCTCCAGACATTTGTCTCATACATGCGCCCCATGCACTCGTGCTTCCAACTGTCACGGACTGAAAAATCCCTGGCTTAGTACACAGTAGCAGTAATGGTAGCGTCCTACTGGACAAAACCTATTTTCTGTAGAAAAACGGAAAGATACACGTAAGTTTCCTTTCGGTTTTAATGGAATGCGTTCTTCTACTTTCCAAAATTAAAGGAAGGTCCCAAACAAATGGTTTAGAAACGAGTTTTTCATTCACTCCCATTCGCTGAGGACGTGACCTAGAGCGCCCTCTGGCATTTTGCAGCCATGTTTTTGATATAACGGGAGAAATAGGAAGTAGCCAGGCTCCCCTTAAACTTACATAGTGTCAGCAAGACAACTGATCAGCTAATTCGGCCATGTTAGGCTTGTACTAATGCATGGATGTAAAATGTGTGACTGTACTGTTACAAAAATATCTTAAGATGAGTTGATGTCACAATAGAATGATGAATACAGTTTTTTACATTATGGCTCTTAGAAAACGTCTTACTTGGTGCTATAACAAATTTAGAGGCCAGCAGTGAGTAATGTTTGTTTATTGTTTACAGATGGGAGCTAGCATCAACAGCTAGTCTACTCAGCCAGTTGGGGCACTTCAGACTTGTACTTCAAAACACTTTAACTGCCTGTCAAAAGCTTAAAATTAGGATCGGACTGGGATCGGCTGTAACAGGGGGTTTTAATATTGTATCGGTACTGGTAAAGAAAGCGCTGCCACTTCTTCTGGCTTTACAACCCCCACTTCCAACAGTGTGAAGTATGACCTGTTGATTCATGCAAATGCTTTGTGGTCACTAATGATAGGATTTGCACCTTTGATCACTGGCTTATGGCCAAAAAATTCAATTATGGTCATGAGTGCCTCGGATTTTAACAGTGCCAATCATGTCATCGTCATCATCGTTTCTCGTACTCACATGCTATAAAGGTGCAGACCGACTGACTCAAAGGCAAGGCACGTTAAAACATGCCTTCCATGCTTCTGCCATTAACACACACAGACGCTCGGCCTCGCTCACAGTGCCTCTTTGACAGGGTTCATAAAAGCTTTAGTCATTTTGTACCCAAAGCTCTCACTGGGAGAGATGCCATTCCGCACAGGGGGCTCTTTGATTAAAAACTGGGTGCGTGTGTGTGTGTGTGTGTGTGTGTGTGTGTGTGTGTGTGTGTTGAATGCCATTGTGTGTGTGTGCTTGTCTGAAGTGTGGGTGGGTGAAAGCAGGTGTGTGTTTCAGAGTACTTGGATTAACTTTGTCTGCATCATTATGTTACAGCCACTTAGTAATAGAAGTAGAGCAAATACATGAGTAATGACTGGAGAATAACAGACAAGTGATTAAATAATTAGGAGATTATATCTCTTAAGTGCGGAAAAGATAGGCATGCACTAGAGATGGTGTGATGGAAATGGAATAGCGTCAGCATTGGACGATTCCGATCCGATAATTAAAAAAAAAATTACTGTGCTATTTTTAACTGAGGCGCTTAAGCATCTAAAGTAGGCTCAACATGATATGCACAATGCTCTTTCAGGTCAGATTTATTACAGGATTGGATCGGAGTAATACATTTTGTCCTTCCCATTTCCAATCCAGTAGGTCTGTTACGATGAACTTCAAATTGCAGTTCACAATCTGACTGATTAGCAACACTAGCTACATTTGACTAGCCAAAAGTACGACCTATTTGATATACACTATATGAGCTTGTTGGATATCCCATTCCAAACCGCATTAATATGGAGTTACTCCACCCACCTTTGTGGGCTTCACTCTCCTTGGAAGGACTTTGGAGTGTGTCTGTTGGAATTTGGGAATTTGTGCTCATTCAGTCAAAAGAGCTTCTAGACACTTCCGTGTCCCCAGTAATGGCACTTACAGTTGTCTGGGGCAGATCTAGCGTATAATTTTCACGACCTGACTTGAGGTTAAGGTGACATCCTATGACAGTGCCACGTCACTGAGCTCTTCAGTACGACCATTTCTACTGCCAGTGTTTGTCTATGGACAATATATGGCTAGATCTTATATACCTGTTAGCAATGGGTGTGGCTGAAACACCTGAACTCAATAATTACATGTCTAAAAACATGTCTTTGGCTGTATATTGTAACCTACTCACTGGATATTGATACCAATAAGAGTTCTTGGGCAAGACTCCTAACACTACCTTCACCTACCCGTGTAAAATGATCAAATTGTAAGTCGCTCTGGATAAGAACGTCTGCCAAATGCCATAAATGTATAATTTGCATTGTTTTAGCACCTATATAACTAAATGATTAACCCCTTAACAAGCCATAAGTTTTATTACACACTTCAATAACCTAAGAATAGCTCCATTAGTTTTCATTAGCATTCAAGTCCCTGTAGTTACTGAATAATAAGCCTTTGAATGAAGTAAATCTAGAATGTTAAGGGGTTAAGACCTAACAAATGTGTAGAGTAATTGCACTCAGCTAAAATAATAGCAACCACCTGGAATAATTGTAACCAGCTGATTATGTAGTAACTGGAAAAAGCATTTTCTGCTGATATCAGCCTGATGCTGATACCAATCAGTACCATCATATCTGACACTTGATCATTGAAAACCTTAAAACATTGTATCTCTGAACTTTACAGGACAAGAAAAAAAAGTGTCTAACTTGAATTTACGTTAATCATTTTTAAACAATCAATTGGTCCAATCATCATAAAATGCTCAGACATTCAAAAAGTGTAAGACAAAATAAAAAAAAACCCTCATAAATTTAATTTTTGCTTAACAAAAAATAGTTTTAGATGCATATTTGTGGAAAATTAGCATTTGCAAAGAGTCTAGAAATGCTCTGTCTATTGAAGTAGTGACAGTTGCCTCAAATATGTCCATGAAAATGCATTAACTGGGTCAACGTGTGTGATTGTGTGTGCTTTCCAGGTGATTGCAGTGGTGATGGACGTTTTTACAGACGTTGACATCTTCAAAGATCTGTTAGACGCTGGTTTTAAGAGGAAGGTGGCTGTTTACATCATCATAGAGCAAGCGTCCATTCAGCATTTCCTTAGCATGTGTGAGAGAGCGAACATGCACAGAGGACATCTAAAGGTGAGTTATGCACCCCCAGACAATAGGGCGATATCTAAAAAGAGTTCTCACCATACAGTTACATACTATCCTAGTCAAATTACATATTTTATTGATTTTTGAGTAAAAAGAGAACAAACTTTTCTGCAAATTTTAATGCAACATTTTATTTATTTGCTGAATTTAATATATTAGAAAAAAATGAAGCATAAAATGTAAAATGTGCTGTTACATTTGCACAGGCCACATTTTGTGTTTTATTGTTTTCCCCCCGTTTTTAGCAAATAGTGAGTTCTCTGATGTTCTTTGTAGCTTATTTTCACTTAAAACAGCAGCAAATGTAATTTGACCAGGGGTGCCAAAACTTGTGCATGTGACTGTATGAGGTGGGCAATTTGGCATCATAATAAACATCACACCCAATACGTTTTGCTTTTTCACAATACACTATACATCACAATATTCAGTTTTTCTGAGGTTTAGTAAGTCAGAGCAGACCAAAAAAAGCAGCTGCAGTGCCATTAAAAAGTTTATGAGAACCTATGAATGGGTCATTCTCCATTTGGAGTGGGGATTCAGATGGATACATGTTTAAAAAAATCACTTTCTTTCATCCCAAAACTAAATAACTGTGATATGTCTATTAACATCTCCTATTATCATATACATGAAAAGGAGAGCTTAATTCTAAACATGTCACTGGTGTTGTATGAATATGGTGTAACACCAGTGACAGTGACTCCAGTGACATTTTGGTTAAACCTGAGGATTTTGTAAACTGGCTGACTCACTGGTGGTCAGGTGACCTTGTGTATTTAAAATCAGTAATAAAAATGATAATTGGCCTTATTTTGACAAAATTCTAATCACCCAGCTATTAAAGCACGTAACACCACTGACACATAGAAGTTATGAGCTGCCTGATAAACAAAATGATTGATAAACCAATGAAATATAGTGAGGAAGTGTGACTCGCCTTCTCATGCCTTGAGATGCTTCCTCTCTGATGAGCCTCGACCCAAAGAAGCAGTTTAATAGAGCTGAAAATACTGTGTTAAAATGTAATATAAGAGTCCTGATAAAACCAGTGACCAAAATCACTGTAACAAATGAATTTTTAAAATGAAATACATATTTTTAAATGTAGGATAATATTAATGATATAAAATGTAAACAAATCTATTTTATGCAAGTTCCTAAGTTAAACCTCTTAAAAATATTGTTTTATATTAAAAATGGCTTCTCAGGTGTTGGAAATTGGTTTTGTGACGAGTTGTTTTACAGATGCAGAGCGACTATAAAACAGGATAGAAAAAGAAAAATCAGTGAAATCATAATGGAAAAGTATTATTTAATCTGTGTAAATGTACATACCGACATTTGGGGCTAATATTTTAAGCATCTTTTTAAGCCCTGCAACCTTTGTGACATGGTTTATCCTCCGAATGAAGAATGACCCAAATACAGTGGTTTACATTTATTATTTATATGGCAGAGGTAGGCGAATGCAGCGTTAGGAGTATTGCCCAGGGACTTTTACTGGAACAGCATGGTGTGTTTTATCAGGCAGGGGATTGAACCCCAGACTGCCACAAGGAGGACCACGTTGTCGCCCACTACACTAGACCAGCTTTTGTTCGGCATTTCATATACTGTGCTAAATTCTGCTGCTGTAGTATCCCAGGTAGTTGCTAATGTTTGTCTGTATCCGTAGGATTTGCATAGTATATATGTGAGTCAGTATGTGATGACTGCGAGGTTCCAAAAGCACAAGTGCACTATTCCTGTATAGCCTCTATGATCTTGCCAAGTTCTGTGGTTCTAGTTCCAAAACTGTGTCCAGTTAAAATTAAAAACCTATTGGTTTAACAGTGCAAAGAAAAGATGTTTAAATTAAGCCTGCTTTTCTGTCAGCTCTGTTTTCTAACATGGGCCATTATTGCCCGTCAAGCATCAGGTTACACGTCAAATCATCAGCGATATCTGATTACGTCCAGCCCTGACACACACCCACACCCACACACACACTGTTCCTTCCATCGTGTGAAGGCTGTTGGCTCTATGAAGAACTTTCCTGCTATTGTACCTTTAGGTGTGTATATTTCTTTCCTCGTGAGAACATTCTAATCATTCCGCTCATTCCTGTGTGCGGATTAACAGCAGCAAAAAGGCCTCCGAACTGTTTAGTAGACAAAGGTCTAATGTTTTAATGCTTCCTACTCCACACTTCCTAATGATTCATTCGCTTTCCTGGGTTAAAGCCTGAAAGTAAGTTTTCCATTTAAATGTGTGTTTATGTAGAACACTGTGCAATGAGCTTTTTTAATGAAACGTATATAAAAATGAGATGTAAAGGAATAGATCTGGGCCATAAGCATGTGTTTGTATAAATGCAAATAAGCAAATAAACAATACATCATGAAATGAAGTGTAAATGTTAGCTAGGTATGCATCAATACCATTTTTTTCAGCTTGAGTACGAGTACGTTTTGTGGTACTTCTGGATACTGATAGCGACTGAGTAACCAACTTAGAATTAAGTAGTTGTTAGTGTGAATGATTGCGATGTACCTTAACAGCTAAATCATTCAAATCTAGCCGTGCATTAGCCAGTTACATTAGTTACCCTGGATTGAGTGCGTTGCAGTTGAGAAGAGTGGTTTAGTTCCATGTCAGAAAAGCGCTTCTGTACAGCTGTAAGTAAAGTATGTTTCATAGTTTTGATCCTCATCTGTCTCTTTTACCAGCAGCCTCTGTAGCTCAGTGAAAACAGGAATCACATCCGAGGCTCACACATCTGAGGAGCTCACTTGTGGAGTTTTACGTCTTGTTGGAGTCTTTTGTGTGGCTGCTTGAGCTGGAGTTAAATGACCTCTAAAGCCAGACATACGCTATGCGATTTTAGAAAACTTGGTGAAACGCACACTGTACGTTTGAATCACCCATCGTTTACAGACAAAGCCTACAGTTTTTGTACTCGCTCTGTACATGAAACACAGCCCCTACAGACGTCTCTGTCTATGAACAAATTATAAAGCTGTTTCATTCAAAATAACACATGATCCGTATTGAGGAAAAACACTGAGGAACTGAGCTACAGCAGCTTTGCTAACACTAAAAGCAGGTGTTGATGTACATCGACAGGAAGATACAGTCTCCCTACAGCCTATTTTGTAAAGCCAATTTAAAAATCAATGTATTAATGTTTATACCTCGCAATTATGATCCAAACAGAGTAAGGTCAGCATATACGAACTTTGGTAGTCAAGTTTTTGACCTCCGTTTTGTTAGTGTTACTACACCCGCACTGGGGAAGTGGTTGTGATTTGTGTATATTTAAAATCAGGCTGAAATCGCTCAGTGGTAATATGCGAAGGCAGGATATTTAAAGTGACCGCCGACATTGTGTCCGACTGCCAGGGCGTTAGAAACACTTCTTTTTGTGAGCAGACCCTCATTGGCCAGCTTGAGTCATTTGTTCATAGCGCAGTGGCGTACACTCAGCTTACGTCACATAGCATCAGCAAGTATTGGATGTGAGAATTTTTATGAGTGCGTGAGTAATTGAGCGCGGTATCAAGTGGATACCCAATACTAGCACTGGTATCGATGCATCCCTATTATTAGCGTAACCATTTCAAAGCTCTCCTTGAGGAAGCCAAGTATTTATGGTTACCATCCAATTCCTAGTTAATCTAATTAATCCTTCATTATTCTTCTAGCAAATATATTAATACAGTTTTTTAAAAACTAAAAATTCCTGTATTTATATTGGTTGATTTATTCTAACATTAACAAATGTCAACAAAACATAAAATTTGACCAATATTTGCATGCAATGATCAGTTCAATCAGTTTAATTTAAGGATATTTATGTGCGCTTGTGTGTGTTTACAGCATCTGCGTGTACGCTGCAGCGGAGGCTGCGAATTTCACACACGTTCAGCAAAGAAAGTGCAAGGTTCACTGAATCAGAGGTTCATGTTTGTGGATGGAGACCGCGCAGTGTCTGGATCGTACAGGTATGTTTATGGCTGAATATGTCAGTAATCGGGTTGGAAAAGTACTGCTTCTCATCGTAATTGCATGCTTTTTATGTTGCTAAATAAGGAAGCAATGGAGAATGTAATGCAAGAGTACCTTATGGGATTATAATACCATAAACGTACAAAGTGGCCATCCACAGTCATTTGCATTGCTTCACTTCAGGACGTGTCTTTGTCTTTAATTAGTTTGTATGTGCATGGACTTCTTCAGTATTGTGTGATTTGATGCTATTTTTACTGCAGGAGACTAACAATGATACCATAGTCTCTCCTGAACTGTGGGTTGTGCGGTTGCATCTACTAAACAAATGTCTTTTGTTTCTTCGGCCTGAAGTGGAGCTCATGTGGATCACTTGACTTATTTTAGATGACGATATTATGTTTGAGGAACTGGGAGGTTGTGTTTGTCAAACACTGCACCAGCTGGATTAGTTTTGCCAGGTACTTTATAAGGGATTTGACTGGTAGATTCGTACAAAATAGAATTTCTGTTTAGTCTTCCTCAAAAGTATGACGGGTAGCCTGGATTGAATCATCATAAGCCTGTCTGGTCCTGCACATTTTTGCGCTTTCCTGTTGACCTCAAAAAGGGCTTGCTAATTAACTGCTTAGGTGGATCAGGTGTGTTGGGAGCAAGAAAACACTAACGTGCAGAGCAAGAGGTACTTCAGGAACAGGCTTGGGAACCATCCATATTATCTGATGCCAAACAAGTGACGCTGATAAAGTCATTGCCTGTGTTTTTATATTGCTGACGTTATTAATGTTATTGCTCAGTTGCTGTATCCCTAGTTGATTCCAATAGGATTACTTCTTACGGAGTGAACTTCAGGTTCAGCGAATTACAGAATATTACAGAATTGCACTACATTAAAAAGCACAGACCTTGTTGATAATCACTTAAATTACAGTATCTTTCAAGGTCAAACAAATCTAGCTCAACTAGAGCTTAAGACTCTGTGGGAAAATGAAGAGGTCTAACATTATTTGTCCTCTGCCTTCCAGTTTTACATGGACAGCTTCCCGTCTGGACCGTAACCTCATCACAGTTTTGACAGGGCAAGCTGTGGAGACCTTTGACAAACAGTTCCGTGAACTCTACTTGACCTCTCGTGGTGTCAGCTTGTCTAAAGTCCCGCTGGCGGACCTCCCTGACCCTGACCCTACGCCTGTCCCTGCACCAGCCCCTCTTCCCTCGGCGGCTCTTGCCAGAAAACTGATTAACCCCAAATACGCCCTGGTGGATACGGCAAGCCGGACCTCCTCAGATAAAATCAGCCCCAAAAACAGTAGTTCTCAGAATCCTTTGCCTCAGCCTGTCAAGAGGCAGCGAGAAGTAGTAGAGGAACTGCCCAAACACCCCGGCCTAGTGGGATTGCCCAAGGCAGAACTTATTTCTTACTTGCCCATCTGGCCGGAGCCTGACCCGCCCAGTGATGTCATTGGGTTCATTAATATTCGGGACACTAGTAAGCCGCTGCAGGTGCACTTGATGCGATCGCAGCTGTTTGAAACATCGCAGGCCATTCGCTTCAAGGACCCTTTTACTGGTCCGCCTGAGCAGCCTTTACCAGAGAAGGCGAGCCCTCGCACAAAAGCAACAAACGCACCCAAAACAAAACCCCCACAAAACACCAGTGCTCAACCAGAGGACCAGCCTAAAATGGAGGTTCTGTCAGAGAATCATGCAGCTTTAGCTGACAACACATCACCACCTGCTCAAACAGAGAACCAAGGTACCAAAGCTGACGCTCCAGCATCTCCACAGCCACAATCCACTCCCCAACCCACACAACCTATTGTGGAAGAGACCCAGAGTGATGGGCCACCTCCAGGGCCACCTCCAGGACCACCCGTGCCCAAGCCACGCACCTTACAGCTGGTGATGAATCCCACTGATGGTTCTGAAGCAGTCCAGGTCAGCTTTGTGAAGAAGGAACAGCCTCAGCAACCCCAAACAGTACCCGACACAGTCAGCCCACCACCGTGCATAGTGCAAGAGGCCTCAAGTTCAGACGAGTACAGAGAAGCACCTGAGGAGCCCACTTCAACGCAGACCGTCCCAAACACAGACCAGTCTAGCAAGGACAGACTTCGGGATAACGATGCGGACAGTACAAAGGTCATGTGTGCACATTCGGTGAAGGACAAGGATGAGAGTTCCACAGCATCAGACGAGTACTACGAATGCAGCGACTCGGAAAATCTCAGCGTGCAAGGGCAGCTCGCCAACGGGAGGACTACTGGTTCAGGACGTTTTGGGGACCATAGCCCTGGAACTGATTCATTGAACATGATGGCACGGCTCTCTCAGTCCATGCTGGACCTGAGACCAGAAAACTGTGCAGAGCCGGACCCTGCTGAGAGGAACCTGCTGAACATACAGAGCAAATACCCAGGAAAGGTAAGGGAGCATGTGTTTGTGTGAAACAGGGGTGACCTGCTTTATGAGGATCAGGAAAACAGTCCTGGTTTTGTGCAAAATCCACATGCAATTTTATGAAACTGAAAAAACATTTCTTGTTGGTCAGTGACTCTCAAGGAGCCCCACATGGTTAACATTTTTGCTCTATTCCTATGCATTGTCTGGGGTTCCCTGAGGACTAATTTGAGAACCACTGTTCTACGTTATTATTAGTTTTCATTTTTCATTTTCTGATAAAAGGACAAATAGAAATGCCCTAAATTTCCATGTTTACGTTACCGTTTTCGAGATTCACGTTTTTCATGTTGGCAGCTACTATATATTTATTTTATATGGATGTATTCAAACGTTTAGCAACCCCAGGTCAACATGTTGTTTTGTTTTTCTAAGTGAAAATACACTGTAAAATAAGGCTCATCAGATCAACCTAAACAAATTACTACATGTGGTAACAAGCAATTGAACTTTTATTCAACTCAGAAAAAATACATTGACTGAAAGAATTGTTATAAAGTTGAATAAAACTAGCAAATGTACTTGTTACCACACATTTTTTAGGTTGAACTGACCAGTCATTTTTCAAAGTGTAAGTCAACATATCCTCTATTGGGAGTTCACATTTTAAAGCACTATTACTTTATTTATTCAACATATTGGAAAAAAACCCCATAAAATGTGGTCTGTGCAAAAGTTATGGCATATTTACTATTTTATGTTTTACTTTTTTCCAATGCGTTGAGTGAATACTTGTGCACAAAACTTGCAGGAAAAATAAATATTTTAGTGTGTTTCTTGTAGAGGAATACGATTAACTTGTTTTCACTTAGAAAATCGAATGCGAAACCAATTTTTTGCATACGACCACATAAATATATAATACATAAGGGACATATGGATGGCGCCATGTCCTGACATGGTATAAAAACAAACATGTATGTGTGCCATGAAAGTGTTTTTTTAATCAGATAGGCTGTGTTATCTTTTCCGTCAGCCTCCATAAACTTGGGTGTGTCCCAGATCCATTTGGCTGTGGATGACAGAGGTGTGCTTACACTTTATAGACCTTGTTTGGGTGTGCATGTTATGAAATATGCTAAGGTGTGTCTGCGTGCGTTCCAGAATGCTGCTGGCACTTCCAGCAAGCCTAAACGTGTCAGAATAGTGGAAACATATTTACATGGAACCATTATGTTTAAAATTTAATATCATGCAAAAGAAACTAGCTGAAAATGTTTTTTTTCACACAGCTTGAACTTGTCGATCTTGATAGCGGCCAGGCAGGTATTCAAGTGAGATAGACTGATGTGATGACTTTTGTCAGTTCCAAACAAGGATGTACTTTAAATTTCTGCTTTTGCCGTGTGATAAAAACTCAAGTGATGCTGATAAATGTATACATTACCATACAGTCTTTATTCAGATTTCAGGTCTAGTTTGCTCCGCTCCTTGATCTATTGTTGAAAGTTACTTTGATGCATTGCCTCATGTGAACCTCTGAGGTAAACCGCTATGAGTCGAGACATGCAGTCTTATTTTAATAATTATTTGAGTAGAATCTTTGACAAGATGTATGATTTACTGCATTGTATTGACTGAACTTGCAAAAGTTCAGTGGCGAACTGAGCAAGGCCTTAAGTTCAGGCCAAAAATGCAAAAAAAAACCCCATTAAGACAAAAAACCTCATCTCTGCAGTAAACAAATTTCTGCTAGCACTGTTATGAGATTCAGTGTTAAACACAGATATTTGAAGATTGCAAAACAGGTTCCATATGTTTTCTTTGACGCTGCTAACAGACGTTAATATAAACGACGGGGACCTGGTTAGACTGCCGCTCGTATTCACAGTCATTGATGTATCTAGAACTTCCAGAAGGCCTAGAGCAGGGGTCTTTAATTAAAATTCAGTAAGGTCCAGTTAAAGAAAATATCCGAAGGTCCGGAACATCGTCATGTCTAACTTGCATCGTGATTCAGTGCCATATACTGTTTACTGAAGCAGGCTAGTAGTTATATCAACATCTTATACAGTCAACAACTGAATGTCAAATCAGATAAAGTACAATTCAGTCATATTTCAACAACATTTATGGTCAGTTTTCTCTTTTTAGAGCACGACATGTGAAATAACTTCCCCTTGACTCACTTTCTTCTCCAACTGCTGTTTCTCACCTCGTCCCTCCCCTGTATGTGCATCACTCACTCGAGACTCAGTGCTCATCTTAATGCACAGATCTGATTGGCTTGAGTAGCGTCACGTGTCATATTTACAATGCATACGATTGGTCTATGACTCTCCCGGCCTGCCAAAGCTACCGTAAAGGGTCGAAAAGTTACGCCGATTAAGATAGGACCACCCCGTCGAAATTAAATAATTATCCATAGTTTAGTGGTTATAGGTCCAGGTCCACGTAGGACAGCATCTGAGTCCGGTTTCAGACCACGGTCCACCTATTAATGACCTCTGGCCTAGAGTGACGTTTTTCACATAAAATTTTTAACGCCCATTGGAAATTGAAACATCATTTGGCTGATTTCTCCATCACTGATTAATGTTGAATCCAAAGGGTCTTCAGTCCAGCTCCTGAAGTTCTAACCAGTGGGAGACGTTGTGTCTACCTGACTGGACAGTTTTCTTTTGGCCGTTTCAAGATTTTATCCTTTTTCCAACCAAAACTTTACAGAGAGATAAGAGTAGTTCTGCTAAACGAAGCTAAGAGCTAAGAGTTTAAATACAACAAACATGGTTCCATAGATGGTGACCTGGCAGTCAGAAAGAGAGAGAGAGAACAGACTCACTCTGTTCTGTGCTAAGCTGAGAGAATAAAAGGTCTCTGATGTGGTAGCATCTGTGAGGTGAGATCGAGGAGTCAGTGCATCTTTTTTTTATGTTTTTACATGAGCTTTTTTCCAAAACTGTGACAAAACAGTGTTTTATACTGATAAACTGTGTGGTTTGACATCTGTGTGATTCTGTTAAATACAATGAAATAATGAACTAAATTTGCAGACATGCAAATCATTAGGCCTTCTCTACAGGCTTACAAGCCTACAAACAAGCTGTTAAGGCCAAAAACCTCTGGCAATGATTATGGAATCTGGCAGTGATTTATGGTATTTCAGTGTTTAGTAATGTTTTTTTTTTTGTTTTTTTTTAAAGACCACCTCTACCTTAATGCTAACCTCTACTAGCACGCTTAGGGGATTTCTAGTGGAATGTTAGCACTAGTGGTGTGTTTTGCCTTTTGTGAAGGCCCCTCAAAATCTTCTGGCAATGATTATGGAATTTGGCATTAATTATGGTACTTCAGTGTTTAGTAATGTTTTAGTAAAGTCTTTTTTTTTTTTTAAAAAACCACCTAAAAACGTTACTAAACACCAAATATCATAATCACTACCAGATTCCGTAGTGATTGCCAGTGCCAAGACCACCTCTACCATACTGCTAACATCTGCTAGCACACTTATTTGATTTCTGGTGCTATGTTAGCACTAGTAGCCTGTTTTGGCATATTTTATGGACATCTGATGATATGAAAATTTGAAACAGACATTAAAACACATGACTGAAACCTGGTTAGACTACCACTTGTATTTATAGTTAGTGACGTATCTAGAACGTCCAGAAGGCATAGAATAATGTTTTCTATCACACAGTTGGCCCTACACATTGGGAATCAAAAACATGATTGGCTTGGTTCCCTTGTCACTTCCTAATATGTTGATTCGTAATCAGAAGAATGACGAGTATCAATGAAATTGAGTCAGTTTAATGGTTTAATGGTGTTATAGAACTAATTGCGCCACTTCTTGTGATATCTTTTAGCAATAGCGCATGGTTTTTTAGATGAAGAGCATATGTTTTCAGGATTTCAGTACAGACAAATACTGACAGGGCAAAACATTGTTTTAATAAACCATTTCTTGCTTTTTAAGGTATGTTTGGTATTGCTGTCTTGGCCACTAAGGCCCAGTCGTCTTGTCAGGGTCAGTCTGCTTAAACTGTGTCATAGCAAAATATCCTCAAGTCACTGATCATTACCATTTTTGCTGGTGACCTGGTTTCATTATATCTAGGCTTGGTTTTATTGGATGCTTTCAGTATTGACTTTCTCCAACCCTTTTGATGAGAACATTGATACTAAATATAGTAACTTATTTTGAGAGTGTGAGACTTGTGATGCCTGGCCTTTTTGAACACTAGCATTGGTGTGAGTGCATATTTGTGAACTGTGCTTGTTTGTATCTGGTGCAGATGTTTCAAAAATGTCTGGTTATGCATTTGATTAGTGTTATGTAAGCACTTTCTGGTACCAGTTACTGAGTTTGGCAGCTCCTTGGCTTTCTGCGTGATGAAGGTGTCTGGAATTTTAAATGTGTTGCCTTACTTTCATGTCATAATGAAACAGACAGTGAAAAAGGAGCAGTTCCTACATATATATATATATATATATGTATATATATATATTGCTGTTGTCTGAAGAACAGCAATATATATATGTTACCCTTTACATTCTATGAAAATTTCATGATGAATGGACTAAAAGAAATGACTCAAAATGACTTGGAAAAAAGTCTGGTTCCATTGACTTACATTAAAAGTAAAGTATGTTTTTTTTTTCTCCTGTAAAGTTACCATGTTGAAGATTTTGGAGTTTTATTACACTTCTAATACGAATAGCTCAACCAGTTTGCATTGAAGTCCCTGTAGTTACTAATTAATAAGCCTTAGCCTTGGATTTATTGGGTTAAGAGAAAAATAGTATTATTAATAGGAAAAGAGAATTTATAGCTGTATTAGGATTGAAGTTTACAGGTTTCTCATATGCTGGTGTAAGAACTCTCATTATTGAGCCTATATTTATATTTTATACAGCATTTATTACTCATTTCTAGTGTGAGATGTTTGTGTGGCTGTTATGAAACACACTGTGATGTGACAGATGAGCAAAATTGTAGCGTTTTAACTTTAAGATCTGTTAAGAGAATCCAGAAATATCTTTATTTCTATCCGGTATTGTACATAAAGGATCCATAGGAGAGAATTTGTTACCTGGGTAGAGTGCTTTGCTGATCATGCCGGGTAGGATGATGAAGATCATTGGTAGCATCTTCAGGTAGCTTGCAAAGATGGACGCTCCTTTTGCATGGCTCAGATTTTTGGCGGAAAGAGACCTCTGCACGATCACCTGGAAAGTCGCAATGTTAACTAGGCTTATTTAATACAACACATATAATACAGTAACAGTGCAGTGATAAACAAGTTTTAAGCACCGGATAAAATTTGAATTATGGAGCTATTTATCTGGGCTGTGTTTATTTGCTTAGATAAACATTTAATATTCCAACAAATATAAATAATGTTAATACATTCAGTGGTTGTATGGATGTCAATGTGTTCATTTAACCATTTCCAGACCTCCCCTTAAGTCCTTTTTCCAGTCAGCTCCACTAACCATATAGGAGCACTTTGTAGTACAATTACAGACTGTAGTCCATCTGTTTCTCTGCATACTTTATTAACCTGTTCTTTAATGGTCAGGACCCCCACAGGACCACCACAGAGCAGGTATTATTTTGGTGCTGGACCATTCTCAGCACTGCAGTGAGACTGACATTGCGGTGGTGTGTTAGTGTGTGTTGTGCTGGTGCTGGTGGTGGATCAGACACAGCAGTGCTCCTGGAGTTTTTAAACACTGTGTCCACTCACTGTCCACTCTGTTAGATACTCCTATAATAAGGTATTGGCCTGTGGGGGTCCCGTGGGGGTGCTGATCATTGAAAAACAGGGTGAAATGGGGGAAACAAAGTATGCAGAGAAACAGATGGACTACAGTCTGTAACTGTAGAACTACAAAGTGCACCTATATAGTAAGTGGAGCTGATAAAATGGACAATGAGCGTAGAAACAAGGAGGTGTACCTAGAGCAGTAATGAAGTGGCTGGTCGGTGGTCTGACTATGATTACAATAATAAAATGATCCGAATTCTGTTCTGAAAAGAAGAAAGCCTAATGCAGTGATGGAAAACATGGTAACACACAAATAACCCAGTTCTATGCATTGAAATTGATAAAAAGATTTTAATGTTGTTAGTAGGAATGTACATGTGGCATAACTCCTCAGCAGAGTTAAACGAGTGGCTTTTCTTTCTTTTTTTGGGTACTGTACCAAACCTTCTGGGCTCATGTGGTTAATAATAGTTCTTAACATAGATTATATTTGTTTTTATATATGTTCTATATCGCTGCTGTCGCAAGAAAACCTCATATCTCCATTTTTGTCATTTTTCAGTTTTTGATATAATTTGAAAATGTCTGTTGTCCTTTACATTGTTTGTAAATTTCATGAAGAATGGGCCAAAAAAAACGGCCCATAATGACTTGGAAAAACGTCTGGTTCCATTGACTTACATTAAAAGTAAAGTAGGTTTTTTCTTTCTCCTGTAAAGTTACCATTTTGGAGATACAACGTTTTGTTCCGACAACAGCGAAATGCTTTTCTGCAAAGTGGATTTTGTGTCATATTATTTATTGTTGCTTGCTTGGTAAGGCTTAGGAGTCAAAACTTTTTCCGATGAACTACACGTAATATATTAAGAAATAACATCAAACTACACCATGCTTCTGTTGTCATGTGGCTTCTAAGGGTCATAACTTTGCTCTTTTTACTGGAATCGTGTATGGAGACACCTTAGCGCTTTATTTATACCCTCTCCTTCTTCTGTTCCAGGCATATCAGCCTGTATCAAGATCTCCTGTTCGAGAACAGAGCTACTACAACAGAGCTAAGGTGGTGATCGCCAAACCGGGAGTGTTTCATCGTCCTCCTAAAAGCAGTGCCCACGTGATAGGAGGTCACAGATATTGGCAGGGCAAACTCTACGGCCCTGAACGGCCCCAAAACAGACTGTCCCAACCCGAGGCCAACCGCACCGGCCGTTCCCCCCGCAGACACGGCTCCCCCTTCAGGACTGGAGGACTGAGGACCAGCCAGTCGCCAGTGAACCGCATCGTTCACGCCCACTCCCGTTCCCCCGCTCATCAGGTCTCTCACACGCACTCTCCTTCGCCTCGGAGGCGGAACGAGATGCAGACCCCACTCGGAATTTCGTTTTCCAAACTTGCCAGCTTCCGAAACCTGAGGGGGAAGGTGCCTGGGGTCATAGGGGGTGTTGCCATGGGTGACAAAAGGGTAACACGTGGGCACAAGAACAATTAACAACACAATTAATTGCTGGAAATACAGGAAACCAGACTGGGATTGAGTATCTTCGGTGTTAATTTCAGTTGTGTGCCAGATACACACTAAATAATTTAACTAAAAGACCTTCTTCATAAGCACAAGCAGATTCTTTGTGCGCTCTGCAACATAGACTGTGGTGAATAGGTGATGGATTTCTGAACATGGTGAAGGCGATGTCAAAGTTATTTTATGTTTTACACTGAAAAGGCCTACCGAGCGTAGCTCACCCTAGATAAAAATGTGTGTGGAAGCTTATTCCCATCTATTCAGCACCACACATCCATTGATGTTGCTCTTTCTATAGAGATGTTCTTACTGGACCAGATTTTCTCTTTCAGAGCGGATCAGAATTGCAGAAATACAGCGGCGTTTTAGGGCTGCTGTTAATAAAAATTAAAATAGTAGACTTTGAGAATACAGTCATAATATTTTGAGAAAAAAAGTCGTAGAATTACGACATTAAAGTGGCATTAATACCAGGAAAGGTTGCAATATTGGCCACAGTATTGGCTCTTGTTAAAATGAGGGACGTTGAGTTGGTAGAGTTTTACTTTCATATCGATTCACCCATAAAGAAACACTCAGTCCCCCTGTCTCTCCTGCACATCAGCACCAGCCTGTTATTAGTGTATAAGAACCGGCTGAAACAGCTGAGCAGGAAACTGTGTTTATCTAGAATAAAGAGCCAGACGGACTCGGAGGAAACTGTCTGTCTGTGTTGTTGAAGGAGAATCGCAGGCAGGGTCGTCTACACGGCTATCGGGGGCTTCATCTCCACACCATTCAAAGAGGGCATGAAGTTTCACAGACAGTGAGAATGATGATCAAAATGATCCACAGAGAGACAGGAGTGAGTGGAGCTCCGCCGCCAGTACAGCAACCGAGACCCCAACGCGTTATGGCAGCCCCCTACAGTTAGCCCACTTTATCCTCCAAATATTATGACTTTGTTCTCAAAATATTGTGACTTCATTCTCGAAGTCTACTGTTTTTATTTTTATGAACAGTGGCCCTAAAACGGCGTCGTACAGAAATGCTATGGATATTGTTTCTGATTGTTCATGTTCATGAATGGTGCTTTTGTTTTTCCTTGAGAGATTCATGGATTACCTTACCTGCTGACAGAATGTATTCGAAGCTTGATGGTGGGGCAAAATAAAACCATTTTTCTAAACATTTTGTTTTGCAGTGTAAATCTCTAATAACAGTACGCTATATAAAATAATGTTTTTAAATACATACACAGGGGAGCCCCTGGGTGGCTCGGTAGCAAGACTCGGCCTGGCTCACTTCATTTTCATTCAGTTCTCCAGGAATATATTCAGTGCATTGTGAAATCTCGCCACCATTTTATTCAGCTTCATTATATTTTGATATTCGGTTCAAATGGTGCACAATAACAAATGACTGGAGGAACCAGAAATGGCAGTGCCAATCCAAACAATACTTTCTGGGAGTGTCAGGTTCGAAAACAGCCTGAGAATTTTGTTTTGGCCATACATTTATTGAATTTCATTATAATCAATTATAATTAAAAGTCAATATTTATTTATATTGTGCTTATTATAACATGGGTTCAAGCCCATATGAGCCAAGGGCTCTGAGTAAAAACTCCCTAAGAGCAAGAGAAAGAAACAAGGTTCAAAAGGGCAACCCAGCCTCCTCTGGCTGACACAAAAACAGTAGCAAAACTATAACACAAGAACAATATGAATAGAGGATAGGATTTTACATTTAATATTAAATATGGAAAAAAGGAATGAATCCAGCCTGTCATTGCATAGTAGTATTTAGATTAGTCACTGTTATTAAGTAGTAACAGTGTTACTGTTATATTCAGTGTTACTGAGTAGTTAGAACGTTACTGTAATGGTCTTGGGAGGCCTTAATATATTTTATATTAATATGTTAATATATTGATATATTTATATATTTCATATATATTTATATTAGAATATTTATATTAATATGTTTTTCTTCAATAATTTAAACTACTATTTGCATAAAAATGCCACTAACTACTGTTAGAGGCCTATCAGAGTAACAATAAGAAATAAGAAACAGATCTATGGAAAACAGTCACTGCTACTGAGCAGTAAGTGTTACACTGTTACTGTTATTGTCAAAAGTACTTGTTACTGGCACTGACTTCTGTTAGAAGCCTGTCAGAGTAACAAATGAGAAATAGATCTAGGACAACCAGTCACTGTTACTGACTAGTAACAATCTTACTAGTGTTTCTGTTCCAGCCATTCTTCCTGAGTAGTAACAGTGTTACAGTGTTACTGTTACAGTCACAGTTACTGACCGCTGTTAGAGACCTCATGGAGTAACAAATGAGAAAGAGATCTATGAAAACCAGGCACTGTTACTGAGTAGTAACAGTGTTACAGTATCACTGTTACAGTCACAGTTACTGAGTAGTAATAGTGCTACAGTGTTACTGTTACCGTCACTGTTACTGGCACTGGCGTCTGCTAGAAGCCTATAAGAGTAGCAAATAGGAGATATGAAACCCAGTCACTGTAACTGCGAAGTAAAAGTGCTACAGTGTCACTGTTACAGTCACTGTTACTGATTGCTGTTAGAGCTGTCAGAGTAACAAATGATAAATGGACCTATAAAAACCAGTCACTGCTACTGAGCGGTAAGTGCTGCAGTGTTACTGTTACAGTCACTGGATAGTATCAGTATTAGTGTTACTGTAACGGTCACTGGATAGTAACAGTATTACAGTGTCACTGTTACAGTCACTGGATAGTATCAGTATTAGTGTTACTGTTACAGTCACTGGATAGTAACAGTATTACAGTGTTACTGTTACAGTCACTGGATAGTAACAGTATTATGTTGTTACTGTTACAGTCACTGGATAATATCAGTATTAGTGTTACGGTTACAGTCACTGGATAGTATCAGTATTAGTGTTACTGTAACGGTCACTGGATAGTAACAGTATTACAGTGTCACTGTTACAGTCACTGGATAGTATCAGTATTAGTGTTACTGTAACGGTCACTGGATAGTTACAGTATTACAGTGTCACTGTTACAGTCACTGGATAGTATCAGTATTAGTGTTACTGTTACAGTCACTGGATAGTAACAGTATTACAGTGTTACTGTTACAGTCACTGGATAGTAACAGTATTATGTTGTTACTGTTACAGTCACTGGATAATATCAGTATTAGTGTTACGGTTACAGTCACTGGATAGTATCAGAATTACAGTGTTACTGTCACAGTCACTGGATAGTAACAGTATTACAGTGTTACTGTTACAGTCACTGGATAGTATCAGTATTACAGTGTTACTGTTACAGTCACTGGATAATATCAGTATTAGTGTTACTGTTACAGTCACTGGATAGTATCAGTATTACAGTGTAACCGTTACAGTCACTGGATAGTTACAGTATTACAGTGTTACTGTTGCAGTCACTGTTACAGTCATTGTTACTGGCACCGACTGACAGTGATTACTATTAGAACCATATCATGACGATATGTTAGTATGAATATGTGAAGTACTCAGTATATTGTCAGGCAGATGGAACAAAGTCTGTGATTGAATAGTTTTAGTTTGAGTCAATGCAGGCATCAGTATAATTCTGTGACATTCTGAAATAAATGCACTTGAGCTTTCAGATTAGTGGATTTTTTACATCCTCACTGAGAAAAGAAGGCACTTTTGGGCCACCGTCTCAAGTTGTGTTCGTGTTTACCTGATCAGTGCACCAGTACCAGGTAGCGATGATGGTCAAGCCCAGCGTCATGCCTGGCCAGGGCAGGTCTCCATCCACAGGATCTCGGAACAAGTGCATAGCGTCAGACCGCGGAAGGTGACAGGTTGTGTTGGGGATGATCTTAGACGGCACAGCTTGCAGATACACACGTTCCAACTCATTGTAGCCACCGATCTTGTTAAACGCTAAAAGGAGTGGAAGACACAGACGATGGGAAGGTTGTGTTTGAGCCATATTGAAAACACATTACATTACATGCCATTCGGCATCGTCAAGAGTTTAAGATTCTATATTCTTACAATATTTCAAACAAAATTTGGACAAAGAAAAACAATGACTGTATTCGTGTTGTTGCACAATGCAGTTGCGATCAATACCATAATTAATAGATTAAAAATGCATTAATTTACGGTTCTGTTAATACTCTTTATTAATGAGCACTGACCCTGACAAATTAAGTAGTAAAGACGTTTTCCACAAGGCACATTGTTATTGCTCACTGTAGTGAATATATATATATATATATATATATATATATATATATATATATATATATATATATATATATATATAGCCCCGATCTAATTTGATGCTTTAATACACTTTAATGCACAATTAGTGTTTTTTAACAGAATTGCACATATTAAGGGGAAAAAATCAAACATAAAATCTGGTTTGCACAAACGTTCAGGCACATTTTATATATAACGTTTTATTTTTTTCAATATGTTAAACCAAAACTTGCATAAATGCCACATTTACTTCCTTGTGGAGGTTTTATTTTCATGTGGAAAATCAACAAAGCACGTAATTTGATACCGATCCAATGTTTTTTCTTTGAAAACTACTGCACTTTAAAATTAAGATACTATGAAATGAAGCGCTTCACTCAAGATGAGCTTCTGAAAGTAGGCTATCATGCTCAAACTGCTATTTAAACAGTCTGATACCCCAGTAACACAATGTGAGTGCTAATTCAGGATGTGATTCATTCTGCTCCAATATCCAATCTGGCATTTCCAGATATCGGCCCGGTACTGATACTGGCTATCTTTTCTCTCATGATAAATTTACCATTTGCCAGTCCAAATTCAATCCAATCCAAATTCAAATAATGGTAGTTACAATGTAGTGATGTGGCAACTTTTTAGGATTTTATGAGTTGACATGGACGGACAATGCACAATTAGGCAACTCTGCTCTCTGAGATGTCCTCCTCAACTGCTCTGTCATACCTGGATTGAATTCAGATCCTCCTGAAGAGCGTCAGAACACCTGCGTCAGGTGTGTGAGATTACAGGTAAGATACAGATAAGCAGCATGGAAGAGTACCCCTTTATTGTGGCATGGAGGAGGCATTATCCTCAAGTCTCAGTGGGCTTATGTCATAAATGTGTAAATAAAAAGCACAAAATTATAAATTACAGACCGCACTATTGCTTCTCATGGCAGATTCTGTACAGGCGAAAGTTAATGTGTCCTTTTTTAACGGTTCGCTTGTGCTGTTGAGCAAACTTTGCTGAATGTTTTCTTGACAAAGAGCATGTCTTTCTGTGTGTAGGGCAAATGACTTACTTTGGTTGTGTTTCCTTCAGGGCCCCATTACAAGCTTTAATGAGGTTAATGAGTGCATTTCTCCAATTATACCATGTAGAGCTGCGAGTACATGTACACACTCTTATGTAATAATTCATTAGGGCGTGCATTCAGTGTACTGTAGCCGCACATCTCATCCAGCCTGCATTAAGACTGTACTACATAAACAAATAGACTCACTTTTCCGAAAGACTGGGGACTGACTGGCCGGCAACCAGACGAAATAGACAATGTACGGATATTTTAGTGTTGGCGAAAAATGACGCTTATAATTAACGACTTCTGTGGCACTTAAGGGATTCAAATT